TACAAGAGTGGAGTTGGACCTGTATTAAAAGTTAAGTATGTACATGAGCTGAATAAGTATTGTCACAAGAACGGTACCACAGCTAACAGAAAGAAGGTCTTAAAGTTATGGCACTAGTGTTTTCAAAGGTGTTAGCTAAATAAAAACTAAATGAGATAAAGATGGCTTAATTTTTTGCATTAATTCCAAGCAATACTGGCCAGAACTGTAGTGGATAGGGTTGGCTATACCATCCATTTAGCATAATTTGGAGATGAATATAGACTGCAGTGGTAACAACCCTAAGCCTGGTTCTTCCCTGACCATTGAAGACCACAGTCAATTCAACATTGCTTAGTGGGTCTCTATGTGTCAAGTACTGAAGGAGCAAGGGAGAATGAAACCATGCTGCCTGCCCTCAAGGAGCTAACATCCAGGCAGCCCCTCATTTTAGCTAATAATATTAATACTTCCCGAACTCTTACTTGTGTTACACCCTGTTCAGTCAATGCGATTTTTGTTCCCATTTGTAGATGGGGATGCTAAGGTAAGAGAGACTGAGTGAACAGTCTATGGTAACACAGTCAGTAAGAAACAGAGACAGGACTGAACTCAGGCACTCTGGCTTCAGAGTTCACAAGCTTAAAATGTACTTTGAAGTGAAGCACAATTCTTCCTTTCATGCTGTTCAGGGGAGACTCACTCATCCAAACTGACTGCTGACAACAAATGCATGTGATATATAATCATTGGAGATTGCCTACAAAACCCATTGATACTCATCCAATTCCAGTTCAATTAACGCATACGGAAAACCTACAGCATATTAGGTACTATGCTGATTTCACAGTAACCATCTCATTCAACCCTAATGCCTTTGTCAAGCAAATATTATCTCTATTTTAGAGATGAGAATATTGAGAGGTGGAAGTTGACCTATCTAGTTTCATATAGTTTCTGAGTAGTAGTACTGGTATTTAAACCCAGGTTTCCAGATTCTAAGTGTTTTCTAAGTAACATAATAAATGCCATTTTTTAAATAAAGAGTACAAGTCTGTGGTTGTTAGGACATTTGAAGTCATGCAAGCATCATCATCATTTAATTCCAACATTTCCATCACCCCCAAAAGACACACCCTGCCTCATTAGCTGTCATTTCTCATTTCTTTTTCCCACAGCTCCTACTGTGTCTCTATGCCTTTTATAGACATTTCATATAAATGGAAACAAAAAAATATGTGGCCTTTTATGCCTACCTTCTCTTACTTAGTATATTGTGCTTGGTATATTGTTTTCAAGGTTCATCTGCTTTGTTTTGTTTTGTTTTAATCTACTTATTTGTCGATGGCCATCTGGATTGTTTTCACTTTGGGGCTATTATAAAAAGCGCTCTTACTACACTCATATACAAGTTTTTGTGTGAACATGTTTTCAGTTCCCTTGGATATATTCCTAATATTGGAATTGCTGGATGATAAGGTAACTCTGTTTGACTTTCTGAGGAGCTACCAAACTTTTTTCCAAAAAGGCTATACCATTTTACATTCCCACCAGCAATGAATAAAAGCTCCAGTTTCTTCATACTATCACTAATCCTGGTTATTTTCCTTCTGTTATTGTTACAGCCATCCCAGTGGGTGTAAACTAATCTTATTATGTTTTGAAAGGCATTTCAAATGACTTATGTTGACCATCCCTTCATGCACTTATTGGCTATTGTTGTGTTTTTGAAGATATGTCTATTCAAATCCTTTCCCTATTTTTAAATTGTATTTTTCAAAAAAATTTTTTATTTGGTCTTTTTAGATATACATGACAGTAGAGTCTATTTTGACATATTTATACAAACATGGAGTATATCTTATTCTAATTAGGATCCCAATCTTGTGGTTGTACATGATGTGGAGATTCCAAAGTGGATTGTCTTTTAGAAGTCATTTATATAGCCTGGATTCGAGACCCTTATCAGATATATGATTTGAGAATATTTTCTCCCAGAAATCTGTGTGTTGTCTTTATTTTCTTAGTTTTTAATTTTGACACCATCTAATTTTTGTTTTTTTGTGCCTTTGGTGTCATGCTTAAGAAATCATTGCCCAGTTCAAGGGCATGAAGGTTAAAATGTAAAAATCATCTTTAAGACTTTCTTTTCTGCCATAAGGGAGAGATGCATGATCACAAATTTCTCTTTGCTGTTTTAAGTGAACCAAAGCCACTATTTGGTGTGGAAAATTGGGCTTATATTTTTACGAGGGGATAGGAACATGACATTAAATTAAAGAATTCATAAATTATCTCTTAAATTGATAATTTATATAAAGTGCTTATTATAGGGCACCAAATAAGTTCTGGATATTATTACCTTAATCATTATAATTATCCTGAGGTTTAAAAATCAATGTTCTGAATAAAATAATAGAAAATAATAAAAACTTGGGATTCATGACTAAGAAAAAAGCATTAGAAGAAAAGACACATTAACATGTGATGGCTGAGAATTGAGATGGCTTCCCTAAGCCTGCTCATCTGGTAATCTAAAGGGTAGCACTTACACCTCTAGCCAAGAGAAAAGCCCCCTAATTTTGACTATCTTCGTTTATACCTTGTTTCAAACTTATTATATCAATGTACAGTCAGGATTTTAAGGGATGGTTTACATATTATTAGAACAATGTATCTTGACTTTTGGTTCATATTATCCTACCACAGTACTGGCAATTTGTGGGACACATTCCTCTTGAAGCCCCTCTTACTCCAACAGAATCCATTGGGCACAATCTATTGCAAGCAACTTGTCCTAGCTTTGGCACTGTATTAGTCAGGTCTTCAGGTTTGGGGGACCAATTTGAGGTTCTTGGTTGTTCTGGGGGAGCTGTCAGTACTACAGTATTCATAGGCATACTGTAGTATGTGGTAATAATACCCATGTACTTAGACATATACCAGTATTCCACACAGAACTCTTGATTGTTGTATGTTTGAAATAAAAGTAATAGCATCAATAGTCAATGATTTAAAACTCTGCTTCCTCAATAGAAAAACAGAAATCAGAATTCACTGAATTCAAATGGTCAATAAACACAAGTTCAATTTAACCAGTAAGACAAAAATTGAAAATTATAACTGGCATATTTCTCACTTATTAGGTTGGTAAAAATTAGAGTTTGGCAAAGGTGGAAGAGATGGCATTCATAAGCTGTTGGTGGGAGTGGCGTTTGGTACATCGATTTTGGTAGTCCTCAAAATGTCAAATGTACATTTCCTTTGATTTAGACATTCCATTTCTAGGAAAACAATTTAGCTTAGCAGAAAAACATAAGTAGACAAAACTTTGTGTACAAACATGTTTGTTGTAGTTTCATTGGTAACACTGAAATATTGGAAATATAGGAATGTGCTAGGTGTGGAGGTACACACCTGTTATCCCAGTGACTTAGGAAACTGAGGCAGGAGGATTGTAAGTTTTAGGTCAGTCTCAGTAACTTAGTGAACCTGTCTCAAAACAAAAAAAAAAAATAAATAAAAGAGCTGGGGATACAGCTCACTGATAAAGTGCCCCTGCATTCAAACCCCAGTATTTGGAAAAAAATAAAAAATAAACAAGAAATAGAAAAAAAAAATCTTTATCTTCAACTGGACTTTATGGTTGAATAAACTCAAACATAGTGTGATTCATTCTTTTAAAAAATTTATGTGCGTATGTATGTGTATGTGCATACGCATGTGTATGTGCATGCACACATATGTACTTATATACACACACAAATAGACAAAATGGTATGCAGTTATTACCTCTGGGATGTAGAAATGGGGGAAAGGAAGAGTTTAATGGTTTGCTTTTTGCTTTATGTATTATTATAATGTCTGATATTTAAAAAAATCACTTGTATCACTTTTGTAATTTTTAAAAAGTAAATCTAAAGTGCACTTCTGAATTGGAAACTAGCCAGCAATGTACTTCAATTGTGTTATTAATGGCACTTTAAATATATTTTTTGTAAAGTGTTCACAGGATACCAGATATTTTTCTTTGAAGTGAAAACTGTTTGGGGAATCTCTAAAACTCAGGAGTTAAGGTACAAATGAACAGAAACCAAGGAAACTAGAGATGAGATTATCTTGTACATAATATGACAATGACAGACTTGTACAATGACCCAAGTTTAAGTTCTTATCAACAAAATACATGCTAGAGGGGGGACCTTGTTTTGTTGACAATATAACACACAAGCCTCTAAAGTCCTAAGGGTCAACCGTGTTTTTGCAGAAACTACTCTACATCTTAAAAGATGCTAGTCTTCAGTTAAGTGGAATCCAGACAATTCAGCTTTCCTGAGGTGCTGACAGTTTCCAAGCTTCTGAAGGGATCACAACAATAACAACACATTTAGAGAGCACCTCTTCTGTTCCTGGCATTGCTCTGTTCCTTCTGTAGACAGAAGGATACTATTTAAAAGTCAAAGGTTGAACAGTCTGGATTTTCCCCTTCCAGTATGTCACACGCACCCCACACTCCCACTTCTTAGCCTAGAAAAGAACTCTAATAATATCTATGCCAACCCTCCTCTCAGACTGATGCAAGGCTGCAGTTTGGTCATGCTGGCTGAAGAGCTTTTAGAGCTGTGAAGTCCTCGATGAAGAGGTCAGCATTTTAGCACAGATGTGACTCTGTCATTTTGAAAGTGGGAGATTTTCAAAGATGAGCATGTATTTAGGTTTTTTATGGCTTGGCAGAACTGTATCTTGTTTTTAAAGACTTTAAAAACACTGGTATTTTAAAGCTTTTATTATATATTGAAGTTGCATCTGATATAAAGTGAGTTAGATGTAATCCTTCTACACTAGAAGTCACAGATGTTTTATTAAAATAATACCAATGTTAAAGGTCAAAAAATTAAAAAACAGTCCTGTTTGACTTTTTAGAGATATCGTCATGGGACAGACTAGAAATTCCTTACATCATTTGCAATAATAAAATGAAACTATCCCTCAACTTAGTAAAAATACTAAGAGGCAGGTAATTTGCAGACAAGAAAACCTTTTATTTTAAACCACAAATAGACAGCAGGTGGCCACAACTATCCATGTTTCATTAAAATCACATAAAACCTAGGTACAAAAGCACCACTGATTATTGCTCTAGAAAAACTGCATGAAAAATTTAAATACGCACAGTAAAAACACCACATATGCACAGGACCAAGTTTTTTAAAGCAAATGTATGGAATGCTGAGTCAATTTTACATACAGCTTCCAATATTAAATTGATATTTATTTTGCTTGAGGATGATGGAGATTTCCAAAAAGTACTATGAGAGGGCAAAATGTCCATCCTTATAGATTTTGTATGCCAACTAGTGGACTCCTAAAAAATTAGCATTTACAAAATACTTGGTAAAAATAGCTTTTAAAAGTTGTCTCAAGAGGTACATAAAATCAACCCCAATTTTCATGATAATTCATTCTCTCTCGTTATCTACAGATTCAGTTTTCTGTGCCTGTGAAAAAGAAAGAAAAAAGGATATAGTTATCACTTAAACTATGATAGCCAAGGAAAAGTCCACCCACTAACACACACGCTTTTGAACATATGTTTTTTGCAGCTCTACTGTACAACCTACTTCAACTCTGGGTGGAGAACAGACAAGGCAGGAGCACATGATGCCAACACTCTGCTGCGTTTATTGCTCTCTGCTTTTCAAACAGCCACAGAAACCTTACCTGCAAACCCCCACTGCTCATAATAAAAAAAATCACACTACTATCTGATTCTAGTCACTGCAAACATGCAGAATTTTCTACTGTACCCTTAACTCTCACTGTTTCAATCTGCCCCTTTACTGACAGTGTGCTGGGTGGGGTACTTCTGGAGGCTGAGACATTAACAGTTGAGCGAGAGATGTGGATCTGCAATAACATTACAGGCAATAAAAAGAGACATTATGAACATGCTATCACCGGCTGAAGGATTGAGCAGTTTTTAAGACACTGATTCAATCAGTGGGAGGTATTTATGGAAAGTACCTCTTCAGCTTTAGTTTCACCATTTTCAGATGGTGTAGTACCTTCCTTTCCAGCTTCCTGCTTTTCCTCCTTCTTTCCTTTAGCACCTCTGCTAATCTTTGTTCCAGGTTCTTTCTAACAGAAGATCAAAGCACAAGGAAACACAATATGTTAGCCAAGATCAATTAACCTCTGTCCAAGTACAATTATGCCCACCATGGTGGCCTTTTAGAGGAAACTGAGGACCCAGTTATTCTGAGTTTTGACTGAGTTACACTGAGTCTCCATGAAAATCTAATAGCCTGCTTTGAAAGCCCATTGGACTTTCCCTTTCCTTGGAAAACAAGATGGCAGCCCTCATTTACTGGTTGGGTGGACCACCTCTCCATAGTGAGAAGTGATTCTGCCATTGAGAGGGCAGCAGCAGGACATGGTGACACAGGAAACAGAGCTGGGGAGAACCTGGCTTTGGTGACTTTGCTGCTGCTTTCCAACAAGACATCTCATATGGAGATATGTGGCTTGCATGACTTGAAAGCTGAGAAAGCACTTGAAAACAAAGGCTCAGATGAGGAAAAGTTTCCTAATTTTAAGACCAAGCTACCTAAGTGAGTTCTGTTTCTGAAATCAACGACTCACATCACCATACAGTTTCAGGCAATTCACAACAGGAATGGTGCTCTGAAGGGCAGAGCACAGAAAAGCAATTTGGGGGGTAAGTTCTTGATAATTATATACTTCAGTTTCCTCACCTGCAAAACAGGATGTTTATATCTACTTCAACTGAGTTGATGTGAGTGTTATATGGTCAAACAATCAGAACAGTGTCTGGCATAGTATGAGCTAATTATTTACCAATTATCTGCTGGCATTAATGAGTATTTTGTTATTATTAGTTATGAGACTGGCCTTCTACCAGCAGTTATGTGAGGTCAGAAGCCCCTCCCTGCAGGCCCATCCAGGAACCGTGTGAACTGCATGTTCTGAGGCAGCTGCCAACACCCCCGTGGACACGAGGCTTCCCAGAGCAACCTGCTCTGACTTCCTGCACCTCATTGACCAAATGGAAAACACATTCAGCTAAAGCATAAAACTGTGCTTTATGCCTTTTAAGAAAACCCATAATAGTGGTAATGGCTTTCTGGTCAGAACATTTTAGCCTGAACCATTAAACATGGAGTTTCCTTGGATGATTTTGGGGTAAGGAATTATAATTTATTCATTGTTTAAAAAACCAAAGGTGGGAGGAAGGGAGCACCTCTTACCTTAGCAGATGCTTTTCTTGGTTTAGGTTCAGGTTTTGGTGGAGCAGGTTTCTGCAAAGATAAATTATACAAATGCCGACAAGGAGGATTGTCAGCACTAAGAGGAACTCAAAAGGACTGCAAAGACAACTGTCCATTTTGAGTTCTACTTTATTCATTCAAAGGCAATTGCACCCTATTTTCAGCATCAGGGAATAGCATAAAGACTTTGGCATTTCATTAACTATTTTCATCCTGGGTTTGCAAGCCAATGGCAGGTGAGATTGAAAGCCGACTCATTATTCCCGAGTCCAGAATAGCTCTCTGGGAACAGAGTTAAGCTTCTATCACTGATGTCTCTGTAATTCCTTTTATCACAGCATAGCAGCAAGAGGAATGACTCAGGCCCTTGGCCAAACGGCTCAATGAATTCAGTCGCATTGGCTGTCCCCAAAGTCTAGAAACCACAGCACAATCACAGGCAAAGCCCATCTAATAATGAAGGCTGCTGTCTCTGAAGTAGTTCAAACCACTTCCAAATCCTTCCCACTCTGATGTAGATTTCAACTTCTCTATCCAAGCTTCTTCTTACTTTCATCCTTTCCCATGCCAGCTTAAGGTGACAATCTCTCGCCCACTCAGACACTGAGCTCATTTGTCACTACTGCTTTCATTAGAACACAATTATAGTGATAACATGTTCACTGTTGGCTCCTAAAGTTTAAGAGTTTGCAGCTATATTAGCAAGAGAGCCCTCTAGGAACTATTTTCTCCTGTCTTATGTGGTTTCTCTCCTATTCTCATAAGCAGTTCCTAAAGCCCTCTGGCCATGGTTCTTCCTCCATAGAGCCAGCTCCACAGGGTCTGAGACCAAGAGGCACTTGTGGGCACTGGGGAAAGATAACCAGTTTAAACCATGGGTTCTCTGTAGATATTTTCAGGCAAATATTCTCATAGAGCTAGAAAAAAATGTACATTTTCTCCAAGCACTAGAAGAATGGTTTTTAAATAGAAAACACTGGCCAGGGTCTCTTTCTATGGAGAAAAAATTTATGTCCCTCCTCTAAGTCTCCAAGAGGTTAAGGGTCATATTGAATCTGGCCCTTTTCATCCAGGGCATAAAGTGAAACTATAAGCAATGCAACTCCAGAAGACAGACTGCTAGAAATGACTTTTCAAATACCAAAAATAAAACTGAGCTTGAAAAGTAAGGAATGTTTTTATTAATCTTTTTACACCCTAAATCTGCAGACTGTTCCCCAAATAAAGCAGCTTTCATTGATCCTAAATTTTCACGATCTAAAACACTTGTTATTCTAAGTTTTGACATATTAATAGACACATTTTCTCAATTTACAATGAGTAATTTCTTTTTATATTTTCTATGAGACAGACCTTTCACCCTGCCTCAACAGTCAGTGATTTTGATGGGACCAAGAGTGGAAGTTGTGTAGTTTATAATACTGCTAGCCTTGGAGGAGGTTGTGTTGGCACACAGAGTGATCTCAGTGGAAGGGGCTCATATAGCTGGTTCCTGGCATTCAGGGCAAGTCTTCTTTTAAATTTTGGTTTTCCTTTGACATACAAGGACCATTCCTTTAACTGACTAGAGGTTCACAACAGCACCTGTAGTTCTTAAATCCTTCTGCTGGCTCTGATACCTCTACCTTACAAGAACTCAAGTGAAACACTGGCTCACTTAAACCAAACTCAGCTACAATTCTGAACTTGTGACCAGTCCTAATACCCACTTCCGTGTACAGGTATGGGCTGTGGACAAAATCCAGCTTGCAGCTCTTATAACATCTAGTGTCAGGATAAACACTATCAGCCAACAGGTCAAGCCCTTTCTCCCACCTTCCCAGTGAGCTGCTTGGGCTGCAGGAATCTGACCAAAATCCTCCACTAAAGTCAGACTGATCTGTCTGCTGGTAGAATGAGGACCAGTACATCAGGAGGGCAGCACGGTGGAGCACAAGAGCCAGTGTAGTGTACACACAGGCTGGCAAGGAAGAGTGAAGCACAGCTATGGTTGAGGCTCCACCACACCTGCCCATTCCAGTTTTAATTCTAATCCCCACTCACAGAAGACTCCAAGTAACAAGGTAAAAATCACTACATTTCCAAAAATGTTCCAGGTCTGAAATGAGGCTAAAGTGTATGGTTTCAGACTGCATTCTGATGCTGGCATAAAATGTTCTAAAGTATGAGTTGTGGGCAAAACATCAGAAATCTTGTCTACTTCAGCACATCAGGTATACAGTTTAAAGACAATGATTTTGCTTAAGGTACTTCTTTCATTGCAGAGATCTAGCAATATCAAACAACACCCTGGGCTTTATTTTCCTGGTCATAGCACTGGTCACTGATTTTCACTGATACATCTGATTAAGTGAACTGCTTGGTAAACATGGGTCAGATTTGATAGAAATTGTGACCCTAAGTAATTTTCAAAAATAAAATAAAGAAACTCAAGGGAAATACCACCTTAATCTTCCTTTTGCTGTTTTGCTTTAGACAAAGGGAAAATGTACACATAAGAAGAAACACCAAAGGGGTTCTGAGGCACTTACTGCTGACAATCTGGCAGACCGTCTCGTGGGCTACAAAAGGAATGGAAAAAACAAAAACATTTTTGTAATTACATACAACCAAGTTGACTTTTAAAAAATTATTCTTGACATATCCTACTTTGTTGATAGAATGTAATATATGACTTCCATTACCCTCTCCAGGTGAAACGCACCCAAGTTGCCTGGGTACCATAATAACTCCAGACAAAGTGTTCCTAAAGAGGTGTAGGCACAATGTTCACATAATTGGCGTCTACCAATTAGGGGCATGGTGAGAAAAAAGGGAAAGGAAGTTGACTTTTGACTCCATCCTAAACCATAAACTTTTCTTTTGTGATAAAATTGAAGTTTAAGAAATGGTCTCTAGTCTTATTCTTGTTCTTTAAAAATGGAACTGAAGCTTACAAATTAATACAAGAAGACATATAATAAGAAACAAAAATAGCAGGAGTCTCCCATTTTTTGCTATGTCGGAAGAGAGAGAATGACTAAGAATCTTCACAGCTAATAAGGAAGAAAGACTTCTTTGTGCCTATAACAAAACAAATACACTTATCTACTAAAAAAGATGTCAAAGATTTAACTAAAGTAAAAAGTTCACTTATCCTTTAATTTCAAAGTTTAGAAAACCAAGAGAGGGACTGTACAGATTAGATACTGATATTGAACTTAAAGTCTGGATTTTTTTTTTCAGAAAATTTTTCTTCAAGGATAGTACAAGTTAATAGCAAATGAGACTGTAAAGAAAATTTAAAATAACAGAACTGTCCTAGGTGCTTCAGTGATAACACACAGAATTGATATTCTACTTACCATCCAGCAGAAACTGGCTCCCCAGGGGATTTCACATTCTAAAACCACATTTGCCCTTCTTTACAAGTATTTCAGAAATAAATACTCCATACATTTTGTCTGTTTATTCACTGCTCCATCTACAGAAGAATAGTATACTACCCAACAAACAGTACATACTCAAAAATACTTGCTGAGTAAATTCTTACTCCCTTATGAAGACTTTGCCTCATTATGATAGCTTGAATGTTTCCAATACTTTTTCTTGAGGAGGGTAGCAAAAGTGGAAAATAGGAACCTGTGCCATGATTGCAAGGAATCATGGAAATTCTTGAAGTCGTGCTTAGGTCAGTCTAGGTCAGCTGCTCACACCAAACTGGAAGAAATATTTCTTGCCACTTCCACATCGCATTTCTTACTGAAAACAGCCAGAGAATCTAAATTCATCTTTCTTTAAACTACAGAAGGAAATGAAGAACCAGAGTCTCCATGAATAATTTTAACCTTGGGGTCTCAAGGAAAGATCAGAGCTGGACTTAAGGCCAGCTAGCAGAATGTGCTGAGAATAGGTGACTGTGCAGGTTAAGTGGTTGACGGGGATACATTCACTGCCCAGAGCAGGAGGATGTATGGGGTCAGCACACAGCTCGATCACTGCCCTGGGATTACCAGGAGAGAAGGGTGTGTATGACATTCTCCATGGGAAATACCACAGTGCTTGCTATGATTATCATAGATGCATTTTGATGATGCACCCACAAGTCTCTGGGAATCAGACCCAAATCCTTCAGTGTCTTTCCCAGGATAGTCAAGCACATTACCTGGTTATCACTGAAAAAGAGGTAACATTTTCCCTTTAACCGGGCAATAGTGGGTGTCTTGTGTTTCTTCAACATGCTGAGCATGAAGGAGCAAAGGAGGATCCACCATTACTAAACAGAGCTCAGCTTCAAAGCTTCTGTATTGCCTCAAGAACTATTGTCACCATCTCACAAGTACAGAAAGCAGCATGTTATCCTCCAGGAAGAAAAGTGGAAGCCTCTATGCTAAAGAGAAGTGAATGGGCCTTATGTGCCCCCTGCCTGGTTGTCAGCAGATGGCACCATGTTGACTGCACCTCATTGTTCACCCCTTCTGTTTCAAATCTACCACTACTGTACAGGACAATCTTTCTCTTGGGCTGGGGATGTGGCTCAAGCGGTAGCATGCTCGCCTGGCATGCGTGCAGCCCGGGTTCGATCCTCAGCACCACATACAAACAAAGATGTTGTGTCCGCCGAAAACTAAAAAATAAATATTAAAATTCTCTCTTCTCTCTCTCTTTGAAAAATTTAAAAAAAAATTAAAAAAAAAATCTTTCTCTTATATTTTGGTAGTTCCAGTGTCTAGCAGGGGGCCCTCAATATATGTTGAAATGAAAAGAAGTGGCCATAAATTAGTATATTACTAATTTACTCTCTAATGTGGGCCTGACAAGGAGCCAAGCGTGTTTGCCTGTCAACTAGTGGTCCTGTGTAAAATCTCACTGAAGTGGGACAAAGTCGTGAAGAATTCCCTTTCTGTGGCGATCTTGCTCTTCCCCATGTGAACACCTGAACACATTGAATAGGCTGAGTGGTGTCAGAAAGCTCTTGTATTTCCAGGCGGACATTCCAATGCTGCTGCTATGCAGGGCCTGAAAGGACTTAGTTCAAGTTCAGTACAAGAGTTCCAAAATAAAAAGCTTAATTAATTAATGCAAAAACAAAGCTTCCCTCTATAAGCTGTCTAAACCAGTCAGTCTCTAAAAAGCATTATCTTTTACTGTAAAATTATTTTATGACTTCCTGCCTAAAATTAACCAGCTCTTCTATGTTATAAAAAAAAAAGACTTTTCTTATGATTTTCTTTCTAGCAACCACTACAAGAGATTTTCTTTTTCATGCAAACAGTGAAGGCAGAGACTAACCTTTCACTCAGTCAGCAGTACTGATTATGCATGCAAGTGTGGACGCCTTCCTGGAAAGTTCCATCAGCTTTCACAGCCTTAACATCTATAAATGATTGAACTATATTTATTGGATATGAAATAGACTAGACTGCTATTTTTTCCTTGTTAAAACACTAGCATTTGAAGTACTTAAATTAACACTCAGGCTGGTTGGGTAGGACTAGGAAAAAAGAAGATATTAAGAATTTCTCTTCATTTGTTGATTAAGTGTGAAACCTCAGGAAAAGCAGGCAAAACAATGACACTCAGAGAAGAAGAAGGCTTTTAGAATGACAAGTCACCGGTCCGGTGTAATTGTGCACACATGTAATCCCAACTACTTGGGAGGCTGAAGCAGAAGGGTAGCCTACTTGGGCAACCTACTGAGATCCTGCCTAATAAAGCGGAAAAAAAGAGAAAGGACTGGGGATGTAGCCCAGTGGTAGAGTGCTTAAATAGAATGGTCAAGGCCCTGGGTTCAATCTTCAGTTAAAAAAAAAAAAAGCATGAACCATGAGATTGACAGACATCAATACAATAAAGTTGATGGTTTATTACTATGGTTTCTGGTGTTGGGCACGTTAGAATCATCCAATAATAATTTGATTAATTGATCATTCCCTAGGTTGGAGAAAATTCTGGTGAAGGCTATCCTGAAATACATGAAGTCTTCCAAGTTGCAAAAATAGCAACAAGTCTAATCTCACAAAAACAAAAGTTCCCAGAGATAGCTAGATTCAAGGAGAATCATTAGAATTTGTTGAATATTGCTTCAAAGGTATGGATCATTCTATTGGAAGTAGTCTTATTTTCATGAGATTTCTTTTGCTCCTAAGCCTGACCATGTACTTCTAATCAAAACCCAAAAGTCAAGTTGCTTTGAATTCTCAAAGACAAGTGAGAAGGTAAATAGAAATTGCCTTCTTTTTAAAACTGGGAAGTAGGGAAAGATAGAGCCTTGGATGGGCAATGGAGAAGACTGGAAACTGGATTTACTGTATCTTTATGAATGCCAAAAAGGCAAATGGGACAGAGGATTTTGGATCAGGAGATTCAGCTATCTTTACTGGTTCCACAACTAGTGAGCAAATTGTTTTCTCTCTGACAACCTTATTTGCGCTAGTTAAAACAGGGATAATAACATCTCCTTGTTATCAACACAGCACTTCTCCAGCATTTGCTATTCCCTCACCTCAGTTTATTTTTCTTTATAGCAAATATCCAACTATTTTGCTTTATCCCTACCATAATGGAAGCTTTGCAAAGTCTGGAATTTTGGGGTTTTGTTTCCTGTGGGATCCATGGGACCTAAAATAGTGCTTGGCATATTTTAGGTGCTCATATATTTTTGTTAAGAAATAAATCTGGAGCTAGGGGTATAGCTCAGTGGAAAAGCATGAGCCTAGAATGCTTAAGGCCCAGGGTTTGATCTCTAGCACAAGAAAGAAAGAAGAAAAAAAAGAAAGAAAGAAAGAAAGAAAGAAAAGGAAGGAAGGAATCTTAGGGCTATTGTATGGATCAGACAAAATAATGAATGTGAAAAGGTTTATAAACTGTTCAAATAATGATCATAATATATGGTTTCAGCTATTGTCCAAGTCTCCTGAAGTACTGTACAGTCTGCACAATGCCCTTCAAATACCTCAGCAGTGGTGGAAGACTTTCAAAAGAGGATCCCCCTTTGTAATTGGTTTCTATTCAGTAGAGTCAAAGCTGTGCATACTCAATGACATACCTGGAAAATTCAGCTTGAACTGAATTTCAATTCAATAGAAAAAAAAATCAATCAGTGTATTCTCTGACAGTTTTTACCAAAAGTCACCAGCTCAGTGACTGACCTTTTCACTTTTCCAGCAATTGTGCTGACATCTTGTAGACATAGCATGAGTTTTAATCTGGTCTTGGCTTAAATGACAGGTAAAGAGTCTTGTTATGAAAATATTTTTGTTACTAATAATATTAAAAATACACAAAATAAATAGAAACAAAATAGAAAAAATAAAATAACAAAAGCATAATATAAATAAATAATAAATAAATAAATAATAAAAGTCCTTGGGCTAAACATATATGTATAAATAAATATGTATGTATATACATGTATATATGACAGCTATGTAAGCAATATATATATTTTATATTTATTCTAAACAGCATGATTTGCTTGTAGCGTAGAGGGATTGGGAAGACTTTCTGTTTTCAATTATCTATAATGATTTCTAGATTTTCTGATTGACAGATCAACTAAAATGTCAGTCTTCAAGGAGAAACCCAAACACTTTTCTTTGGTAAATAAATTTAAAAACATTAAGGTTAATTACACTAAAGAACTATCATAAAAATCATACTTTGCCATTTTCCAAGAAGTATTCCAAAAAGTATTTCCTAAGTGTTTAGGGTTGGCTTTTATTATTTGGGGTTGGTTCTAGTATTTGTATGGTGATTTGACTTTGGATCACAAACTTCATGACTATGCCAAACTCGGGAAGACAGTGAATGCCAGGTATATAATGGACGCCATTGCTTTCTTCGTTTTTTTTTTTTTCAGTACTGAGGATTGAACTCTTGATTGTTAGACAGGCACTCTATCATTGAGCTACACCCTACCCTTTTTATTTTGAGATGGGGATTCAATAAATTCTTTAGGCTGGACTCAAACTTGTGATCTTCCTGCTCTGACCTCTTGAGCAGCTGGGATTACAGGTGTATGCCACCATGCCCAGCTAGGTACATGGGATGGTAAAGACAGGCACTTTTGTTTGCTTTGCTTTTAGATTACTTCTTTATAGTTTCTGCTAAAGAGTTTCCATTTGGCAGAATTAATTTCCTTGTACAAATCTTGTGATGGCGTTATGACAAACTTCTCTGAATTATGAACTATGATGTGAATCACTAATTAAAGAATCTGTAACTGGATATTGTTTCTGTCTTTTTCAAGTTTATAAGTGCAAGGGTAAGAGCAGTAGTTCTCCACACACTGTAAAGCTCTGTGCAAAAGGGAAGGGCTTTCATCATAGATACATCTCATTTCCTACTTTTCAGTCCATCTCCTTTCAAATGGTCATAATATTATCAACAAGGCTCAAACACAAGCATTTCTCTCAAGTTCCTGGCCTTTTGGAGGTTTCTGTATTTTAATACAAAGTATCTTTGATTCATTGCCTAATTGGTTATCCTAATACCCTAAGAGTTTTCTTAATTAAAAACAAAAGCTTTACTATTTTGACATATTATATATCCTTCCACAGTTTTTGATCTTAGAGGAGAATCCTCCTAGGTGAATATTTAGAATCTAAAGAGTAATTGATAATTCATTCACTGGAGCAGAAAATTTATGAAATCAACAGTCTTTCATTTTCTTGCTATGAATGGAAGACTTTGTTCTCCAATATGAATTACCTATTATCTCACTCCCCAAAAGGAATTCTTTCAGTATCTGTTTTGATAGACAACAGAACTAACAGGTAGAAACATAAACAACATAGTAATTGGAAAATATCTCAATCAGTGTACCCTGATGAAATATACTTTGGTCAAACAAGATGATACCCACACACTTATCTGATTTATGTAGTATCGACAATTTTTTTTGGTATGGGCATTGATTATGAATTCAGGGGCACTCTACTACTGAGCCACATTCCCAGTCCTATTTCATATTTTATTTAGAGACAGGGTCTCACTGACTTACTTAGTGCCTCACTGTTGCTGAGGCTGGCTTTGATCCACCTGCCTCAGCCTCCTGAGCTGCTGGTTTGAGAGGCATGTGCCACCACACCCGGCTCAGCAATGTTATTACAACAGTGTTCATTTAGATATAGACAATCATATTAAACATTTCAACATAAAGAATTAAAAAGAGGATGTCAAAGATACACTTACCTCCTGTTTGGTTACTTTGGATCCATCTTTGCCCTCTGTATTCTCTGGGGACTAGAAAGAAAATAGTTCAGTGAATTGTATTTAAATTGGAAATCACATATTAATGATTAAAATATACAAAGCTATTTTGATTCCTGGGATCAAATAAGCCAACAGATTTTTTTTTGCAAGGAAAAATAAATTTATGAAAAGATTTATTTTTACATACACACACACACAGCATTTAGCTGCATAATTGTTCTACTTTTAAAACAGGAATGGGAAAGAATAAATATGAGCCCTTGTTCTCAGTACATGCACACCCTAAGCAAATTTTCATTTATCTTCAATAAGTCCATCACAGTCAAAGAGCAAGGACTCAGTAGTCAGTGGCAGGGGTGCCTGGGATCCACCCCCTTGTTTCACTTGCTTGCTCTAACAATTTGTCCTTGAAGATAAGGGCAGGATGCTGGTAAAACCAAGGTCAACTACAGAAGCATATTTTCATCCCATATCTTCCTTTCTTTGATTTCTAGCTCATTTTGAGATATGACTTGACAGATTTACTATTTTTCCATATCCATCTCCAGCATCTCCACTACATTCCCAGTCTCAGCATGACAGGAAAGCACCTTGCCACCCCCAGATGATTTGTTTCCATATTTTGATCCATCCCCTGGGGCAGCACCTGCCCATCCTGTGACAGCTCAAACCTAACAGGAAGCAAAACTTGCACACAACCATGGGGGAAATATAACTTATATTTTCTTTATATATTAAAGTGAAATGTATTTGAGATTTATAAGAATTTCACATATCCCAATATATTTCTATTGGTTAAGAGTTAAAATATGAGAGACAATTAAATTAATACAAAATTAAACTATTTAACACAGTTTACAACTACATAATGCTGGAAGGTAAATACTCCTGCAGCATAAATGGGCAGCTGATATGAACAGAGCATCAGAAAAGATACAAACAGTGAACCCACATTTGGCAGAATGTTTGGCTTAGCAAAATAAAACAGCCATGTGGCAATGCCTTATCTAATAAAATGAGAACAAAATTTACAAGGTCATAAAACCCACTGTTCAGTGGAGCTGGTCACATGAAATTATATAATCATTTCAAAGAACAACCTGGCATCATGAAAAAGACACACAGGACTAATCAGATGACAACTCAGTAATTTCAATTTTCAGACCAGATTCAAAAAAAGAAACTCCACTAAAATATGGGTTAATTGTACTTTTTCTAATATGGAGAATAAATTCAATAAATAATAGAGAATTACTTAAACTATGTAACTATTAATGCAATGGGATTAAAATAGGCTATCTGAATATACAGAAAGTATATAAAATAATGCTAAATTTAAAAGCTTACATAAATTTAGTAAGCAAGACATGGTCCCAAGTAAATAAACAAATCTTAGAGCAGAAACTTCCAAGGCAAAGTATACAGGGAGCGTTCTCTTCTCCCTGGAGCTGTTACCTACAACTTTTCAGAGCCTTTCATGTCTATGAAGATACCTCCTGTTTTCCAAGTGGAACAATTGTTTTCCCCTCTGCCAGGGAGCCTCTTGTGTTCTGAGGGGAAACAACTTCCTCTTTTCTGCTCCCCACTCTCACACAGGAAAGTTTGCATCACAGACCTTGAATTGCACTGGTCAGTTGAGTGATAGACCATGAAACCTGAGCAAGTCTGAGCATATGAACATGATTCCTACATGGGCCATTTAGCTTTGCTCACTTCCATGGTTACAAACTCAATGCTTCTGGTCCCACACCAGACCTTCTGACTGTCTGGGAATGCCGCTCTCATTCATACCTATAAGGTCACTCAGTAGATTTCAGTCTGGGGTACCCTCTACCTGTAATAGTTAGGAAGTTAAGGAAGCAGCACATAGCTATTATCAGGAAAAAATATGCTAATGACATTATTTTTAAAATTTTCAAGGCAGTATATTAGAGGCAAGCAATATGATCAAGAGATCAGTCTCTAAACACTGATCCAATAATGTTTTTACTGGATGAAAATTACTTAAAAAGAAGAAAGTAGGAAAAACTGCATCAAAAAAGCAGGTATACTGAAAATGTTAATGCCTTTGGATGAATGAACGTTAAGACTCTAGAAGTGATGTGTTACAACTCTAGATGAAAATCTCTCCAAAAGAGCTTTCTATGAATAAGAATATAAAAAATTACAATTAAGAATAACATATCTTTACACTGGGATCAGTATCAAGACACTTGGCTTGAAATTTGTCTCTCTACCTAGGAGGTATAAGATTAGGGGTGATGACTTGATCACAGAGGCTCATTCTCTTCACCCATGAATGACAGATGATAATGACATCTAACTCAAAAGGTCATGCTCATGATCAAATGAGAGATTAGAGAAAGCATTTCTTAAACTGAATTGTTACACAGATGCTATGAAACAGAAAAGACACAAGATCTTAAGTTGTCTTCTGAATTATAACATATGAAATTATATTCAATAGATATTCAGATATTGATCACATTTCCTTAAGTCCAGATTCCATGTAAATTGGTCATCTGTTTTCTGTTACCTCACAGGTATACTATTTTGGAAAGACCCCCTACTATAGGATGTTGATTTCATAAATTTATAATTATCCCCCTCTACCATTTTTTACACTTAGTCATGTGGGTAGAGAAAGGAGGAGGCCATGGTATGAAGAGATTGAAACAAAAGCCCAGTGCATTTTGTCCCCATCAGTTGTAAGGAATGACAAAGAAAGTGGGAAAGGAAGTGCATGCAGGGGATCTCTGATATACCTCAACCTTCTAATGGGCTATGTGAAGAATGAGGTGAGTTAAATGGGCTGCAGGGAATACCAAGGCAAAGGGGTTTTGCCCAATTTACCAGGACACAGCAGGCTTACACTAATCCAGTTTGAACCAAGAACAGTCAATAGGGTGAGAACCATGGACAAACAAAAATGTCTACTCAGGTGTCTGAGACTCCCTCGGCTGGGCCAGGTGCAGAGTTGGGCCAGCATGGAGGTGGGGGATACATAGGGCAACCAGATGGAGGGCACTCCCTGGGGGTTCTGGGGAGTCTAGAATATTCTATCAAGAATTGACCTTAGGACAAGTCAGCAGGCAGGTGGACCACTGAGCATCTGGTGACTGGATTAGGACAGAATTCAGCAAAGAGGGCCTGAACTTTGGCATGAAGGGATTATTTTAAGTGAACATGGCTGATCCAGAGCAATCACCAAAGGGCTAGTAACTCTGGTTGGCTATAAGCCGGAAACTTCACTATGTGAATGGATCTGAGGAAGCATCACTCTCTACAGGGTAAGTTTAAATGGTATAGGTACTGGTCATTATCAGGTAAGTATGTATCAGGTGTGTATAGATGGCCCTAGGCCTTAGCCTAAGCAACTCCATTTTAAAACTCCAGTTTGAACCTGCAGTCTCACTGGGCACACCTACAGAACCCTCTAATATAGTCATCAGGCATAGCCTGACATAGCAAATCACTTTTCACAACCCAGACAAAACTCAGAATGAAGTCTCTGTCATGTTGCCCTTGCCCTGATAAAGGCAAGAGGTGGAGAAAATCAGGGTGAGAACCACCAGCCCAGATGCCTTAACCTCAGGACGAATGACATCACTGAGAATCCCGGTACCAGCTGATAGGGATTGAAAGAGCGGTCAGAAGCCCCAAAATTCAGTATAAATGATGGAGTAAATGAACAGACATTCAGCCAGACAACACTGATGCCCACATGCCGGAGAGCCTGATGAGGACCTGGACTGACATCCCAAATCTTCTCATCATTTGCCTGATCCTCTGTATTGTTCTCACTGCTCTCAAACTCTACAGCCACATTTTGACCCTGGTGAGAACAGTGAATTCTCCTCAGCCAGCTGTCAGCTCCACATCAGGAGAAGCCTCCATCAGTTCCTGACCTGATCACTGTGGTCTGAGTAAGAGTATGTCTGCTGGACTTAAAGCCTAAGGCTTGAGATTTTAGATCTGGTACTCCAGCTTAGCACGCAGAAGGAATATCTGTCATGATTAAGTGTGTTTGCAGTACTTAGAATTAACCTAGAATTATTTGCTGTCTATTGTAGTGCCTAGCATTAAGGATTGTCATTTTCTTGATTAAGAACCTATAGAGTAAAATTGTATTGAGTGATCTGAGTGAATAAAGCATTGAAAAGGGTAGAAGTGCATGGATTCTAAGGGGTCTAGGGAGTACTGGCATAGAAGACCCAGTGTCTTCCACTCAGTGGGAACACTGTATTTCTAAGCCAAAGAGACAGGGCATACCTGATAGGTGATGTGGTATTTAAGATGCATCAGGGTCAATTTTTCTACAGGGTCAATTCTTAGAACACAGGCTTAGTTTTCAAGGACACATAGGTGGTGTGGAATGTGGCCACATATGAGGGCTTAACTGGAGAGTCATTTTTCCCCACACCCAGTACTAAGACTACCTTAGGCAAGATCCTCATACCCATTCTCTCCAAAAGTGATTTAATTTTTTTGTTGTTTCTTGTGTTTTTCTAGGCAGCTGCTTAGATAGGGATATTCCTGTGTGTTCTCTCACTTTGTGTGTGCCAGAGGCTTTGTTTTCTGTCATTTCTCTCATTTCTCAAAGAGAAAATAAGTGTGCCTAGCACATACAAATTATTAGATACTTCAAATGTTTTAAACTAAATCTTTAAAATATGGTATGTATTTTACATTTACAACAGATCTCCATACAAATACTAGATTTACTAGATTTTCATTGGGAATATCTGTACTTAGAATTCATAAAAATTTATAGTTGTTTCAACCAGATTGTTTCAAATATATTTAAAAATTTCCAATAATGGAATCTTATACAATTTTTAAACTTAAGTTGATTAAAATTAAATAAAATTGAAACTTCAGGCCCTCATTCTTTGTAAGTACTTAATAACCTCATGCAGCTGGTGGCTGCCATGCAGGATGGACATCAGAGCTCTAAACAGTAACAACCACAGGAGATGAGAGTGGGGTGAACAGCTAAGAAAGGAAAGCAGGCCACGGTTCCAGTTTTG